CTGAATTGGTTGAGGAAACGATACATCCTGCCCATCTGTAAATATTGAAACTGACTTTATGCCACTTGTCCCTTTGCTAAGCTGATGGCCTGATAAATGGTTTGATAGCAGTACTCTGAGCTAGCTTTGCTACTGGCTAGTCTCCCGAGTTCCACTTAATTGCATGCTTCAGCAGGATTAGTGCCCAGTCTGGGGCACACAACAGCCCAGTACAGGTGCTGCCTGTATCTCGTTGCACGGCATCCTCCAGTGGAACACAGTTGCAATAACTTCTTTTTTCTTTGCAGCCGAGTTCTTATATCTACAGACGTTTGGGCCCGGGGCCTGGATGTTCCTCAGGTGTCCTTGATCATTAACTACGACTTGCCTAATAACAGAGAACTCTATATACACAGGTAAGGGGATGGTTCCCACCATTAAATTTTGATCCACTTGCAGCTAGTCAGCCAGCTCATTCTGGGTCTGTCTCTTCCACAGAATTGGCAGATCAGGTCGGTATGGCCGCAAAGGCGTGGCCATCAACTTTGTGAAGAATGATGACATTCGTATCCTGCGTGACATTGAGCAGTACTACTCCACCCAGATAGATGAAATGCCCATGAATGGTAAGTGCACTGCATGCTCAGATAGGCCCTCATCCCTGCTCACATAGTCACTGTGGTGACTGCCTCAAAACCTGGTGGTATGGTGCCATGCCGCAGGCTTCAACAGAAACAGAAAGATGTGTGTAGAATAGCTGTGTCTTCCCACCCTGCCAAAATCTGGTTAGCATGAACTCTGTTCATCTCCATGAAGAGGTAGATGCAGCAGTATATGCATGCCCCATTATTGTTGTGGTGTTGTGTGCTACATATTCAGCACAGACTCAATTTATGTTCTCTTCCCTCATTTCCAGTTGCTGATCTCATTTAAAAAACAAAACCAACAGAAGACCAGCAGAATTGAAGACCTGCATTTTTATCCTGTTTGTTACTTTCCATATAGTAACTTTTCACTTAGTCATTTTTGTTTAAGTGACGTTTTCAAAGCCCCTTACATTGCCATTTTTATTTTTTTGGTTTAATCTGCAAATTGGGATCTGTGTATAGTGTCTTTCATTCAACTTGCTGTCTTTTTAAATAAAAGAAATCTTTTGCCATAAACTCTATATCTGATTCCTTTAATTCTAAGATGATACCTGGTAATAAATTAATTCTGAGGCTTTTTACCAGTAGATGCACTGATCCATTGATTTCAAGTATAGCCATAGGCTAAGTACCAATAGGTGCAGTCTATTCAAACCACAGGTTTGTCTAAACTGCATAGATTGAGCCAATACTGAATATCACAGACATTTACTTTACTTTTCAGCTGGAAAAAGTAGGCAAAGGCCTTCAGTGGCCTAGACTAAAAGGCAGAGGGTACAAAAACACGTCTCCCAGCCTGCAGGCCAGCCAGGCCATTCCTGATAATCTGGCTGGCACAATCACTAACATGCAGGGGTGGAGGCTGAAGCCCTCTCCACCCTGGTCTCATCCCCCCAAGCTGGGTTCTTTCCAGTTGCCACCAGTGCCAGGCTCTGGCAGGATGTGCCAGGCTGTCCCATTGACTTGCACAAGGTGGCAAGGATGGGAGTGTTCCATATAGGGCAGGATCAGGCCCTACCAGCTGGCCCAAGTCCCAGGGCTGCCCAGCATATCCTGTAGAGCCCAGAACCAGTGATAGCTGGTAGGATGCAGCAGGGACCCTGGAGCTGGGACTGGGGTCCAACCCTGGAGCTGGGACTGGGGTCCTTCCCTGTCCCCCTCCCCAGCACCTGACAGGCGGAGCTGGAAGGGCTCAAGGATGCCTCTGTCTAAGCCAGTCTGTGGTAGGGTTCACCAGGGAAATCACCCTCCCATGGCCCCTGCCTATGACAGATGCCGGAGCGGGGGAGGAAGGGCTAGGACAAGGGTCCATTCCCCCCCCATGTTGGCTGCACCTGGCATCTGACAGGTGGGGTGCAGGGGTACTGAAAGCCCCAAGCTGGGCTGGGTTCCACTGTGGGGAAACCCTCAGAGTGCAGTCCCACCACAGCAGACCACTGCAGTGGATCAGGACCAGGGCATTGGGTGTGTTTTGTTTTTTGTGTCCCCCCCCACCCC